ATGAAACATCCAGCCTTGCAGCTCCAGTGGGCTTGGGGATTTCCAGCATCCTGCAGTATGTATCCGTGCAGAGGAAATTAAAATGTGGATGGATCAGCAAGATACAGGCAAATCCTCCACAGTAATTTGGAGAAGACTGAACTCAGGTGCTAGTGGAGCATATTCCAAGCTATCTAATGGAGAGCTGATGATCTCTGTAACAGCCTTTTTGTAAGTTTTATTCTTGCCTACAAGGGAGTTCTTGCAAAGGGGAGATGCAATACCTGAACTGATAGTTTTAAAGGTATATGCTCTGAACATGGGAAAGGAAAACCCTGTGCAGAGCAGTTGCTTGATCAGCCAGTGCCCTATAAAAGAATACCCTCCAGTACCTTATAATTCAGCTGGAATCCCTTTCTAACCAGCAAACCAGTCAGTTTTATGTAGCTTGTAGCCATTACAGGACATATCGACTCTTTGGGATATTGGAATGCTTTGCTCTTTTAGCAATAGTGCAACATCATATTCTCTTCAGCAGCATTACCTCTTGAAAGCCAAGTGGTGTGTGTCTACACAGTGCTGGGTACCTCATTAACTCTGCATATATCAAGTGTTCTATAGCTGCACACCCATGCAACCATCAGGCTGGGCTCCAGCACCACAGACGTCACCATCTCAACCTGTTTCTACACATAAAACTAAGGAGGAATTCATGTTAAAACAGAGGATTTGGGTACCTTGACTTGGGCAGTGCAGTCTGCTGGGGTCTTAGATGGACTGATACGGAACTGCTCCTCTGCCTTCTCTCCTGCCTCCATTTGTAGGCTCAGCAAATCCTTGACCGCATCCTTAATCTATTGTTATCAAAAGCAGCAGGTATGAGCTCAGGAGGACCTGAACCCACCCCTTGGTGCCAGTGGATCCAGGCCTTGCAGCACCATTCCCACAAGACCCCATCCTGTTCCCACGGGCACGCCCGCAGCGAGCATTGAGGAGCCCGAATCCTGATGGGGGATTCTGATGTTATTTATTATCTGTGTTACAGCTGCAACCGGGGACATGGGGAGCGACTCCTTCCAATTCTAACAACTGCATTTACGCCCTGCACAGAGCCGGCTGATGCAGACATTCCCAAGCCCAGGCTTTTTATAGCAAGCAGAAGCACCCACTTCACCTCCTCGAAAGCCTGCTCTAACCTCCAAAGCCTGCTCACAGCCTCGTGCTCTTCACAACGAGCAGCTCTCCAAGCTGAAGATGCTCGTCGGGGTTCAGCCCTTTGCTCTGTTTGGCTCATCCTAGTTTGGAGTTTGGCACAGGTCTCACAAGATCAGTCCAGGGAAAGAGGTGTTCGTCCCAAGGATGCTCAAGGAGCTTGTTCCGATGTCAATGGGAAGAGTGCTCATCCACCGAAGGGGAAGCAAAGCTAAAGGATGAAGATCTCTCCTCTTGGCTATTAGAGTATGTAATGACCTCCAAAAGCCCTGTTCAATTCTATATCTGAGAAGTTGCTTGTTGAAGCAGCAATGAGACCCCCGTGGGCTTCTCAACCACAGAAGGTTCCCACTGGCACATCGGCAGCAGGAGAGTTCAGGTCACGTTAGCAGCCACCCTTAACAACCAATTCCACCTTCTCCCACCTTCTCCCTCCTTCCTTCCCTCTCTCACAAAGGAAGTCAACACAGTTCCATGGACACAGCACAGCACCCAGGGCTCTTGCATGGTTCTACACCAGTGACTTGCGATACAAAGCACGTCTGCATCCTGGAAACTGCCAGCTCAGGTTTTGCTGCTCACCAACTGCTGGTCCTGCAGTGGGGACTTGTTTATTTCATAGCAGGAACCCAGCGCTACGTAATGGAACTGAGCTGCACACCAGGGACAAGTTAATGCAGCAACAATGGCATGAAACAGTTCTATTCTTTCACTGCCATCACCGCACGAGGCTGCTTAACTCTTACTTCATTTATTCCTGGCTGCCACGAACAACCACTTGTAAAGGAGGGATGTGAAGACAGTGTTGAATAACACCATGAACCAGCCAAAGAATGGCAACCCCGAAGGATCCAGTTGGGAAAACTGAGCTTAAAAGCCTGCCTTGGTCAGTTGGGCTGAGGGGGAAGATGGTGAGAAACCCACACCACATCTGCTTCCTCTCCCCTGCACGTCACGGTCACCAAGGGACGTGCTCAAGACGAATTCAAGTGCCTCCAAAAACATCTATGATCCAAGAGGATATTCCTGCTCACCATCCATCCCTCCATGCTGCTGCTGCTTTTAGCAACATGCACTCACACAGCTGCCCTGTGTTGACAGAGAAGATACAACCCAGAGACAAGAACACCAACATTTGCTAAGCACATCTACACTCACTCCAACCACTCCCGAGAAGGTCCAGGTATGATTCCCTACGGGAATCCAACAAAGCTGCTGACTAAACTGATGCTGGAAGCTCCAAGTCAGCCCCTACAGCAGGACAGGAGAAACAGCTGAAGCAAAAGGGTTCCAGTTCTCCCCCTGCTTCACAAACAAGGCTCAACCAACCTTTGGTTACCAAAGTCTCTGATCTTCAAGGTATTTGCTGGCCTGGGAACAGGCTTCACACATCACCTGCCTGCCAAATCCAAGCTGGGACAGAGGGACACAGCCAAAGCATTAAATAAACAAACATACCTATGGGTGAAAGACACAGGGAGGAGGCACAGCCAGATGGTACACCCGCTTCATGCAGTTAAGTAAGTCAATGGTGCAAGCAAGAGATCAGCCACCAACACAGCAAGTGCCTCCACAAAGCCTCTTCCCTGTGCCAAAGGCTCCAGCCACGCTGGCTCTGCTCCCAAAGCAGGAGCAAACCCCGGTCTGGGGGAGACAAAGAGTCCCCAGTGCAAAACACGGGGACTTGAACCAAAGCCACAACGGTGCAGGAGCTGCCCTGGGGGCTGCTACCTGCGTGGAGCCATTGGTAAGAGGAGCAGAGCCCCAAGAACCAGTACAGATGGCAGCGAGAAGAAGGCAAGCAGCCGACTGCCACGCGACAAGGGCACATCCCAAGCGGGAGGATAAGAGTCAGACAAGAATTAGCTGTTTGAAGTCCAAAACCCCCTAAGCAGAACACATCTGCACACTCAGGCAAGCCAGAAACACAAGAGCTCAACGTGAGCATCCTCCTCGGCAGGTCCCCAGTGCAGGGACACCGTCCCCAGGGAGCAGTGGCTGCAGCTGCAGGGGAAGGAAGCACCTCCCCACCCGGTTTTGGTGCTGTGTGTCATACTCTTGGTGTCCCTCCCGTGCGTGGACATCAATGTTTCTACCCATCCTTTTGCATGGAAGCCCCATTTCCATGGGATGACTGGAGAGACGCATTCCTGACCTTGGGCAGCTTTGGGATACCATGGGTTCTAGCTCAGGCACAGATGCTGCAGAGTAACTTCATGCATGGTGACACTTGCCAAAAGCCACACAGGATGGAAATGCCTGTTGTCCCACTCCTGGCACTAAACTGCTCCTCTGGACATGGAGCCATTGGGTCCCAGCAAGCACACTGACCACCAGCACCGCATCAGGAATGGATCCATTTGGAAAGCCAACACAAAACACATATCCCATTAAGGAGTAAAACAAGACTTAACCCCAGTCTTCCAGTTTCGTTCCAAATGCAAGTTTATAGGGTTGTTTCAGCAGGTCAAAAGATCCTTGTCCCTGCCCAGGGCCAAGCCAGAAGCAGATGGGACAGTAGCAGTGCCGGAGAGCTCTGCTTCAGCTCTGCAGACACCTGCATTTCACTGCCTCTATTTAGACCCTTTTCTTGCTCTCCCTCCCCCAAAGAACCTTTACAAGAGGAACGAGCAGGTCTGACAAAAAGAAAATAGTGACCAAAATACAAACTGAAGCTAAAAAGCCACAAGCAGGTTCCCCCCCACCACCACCAGTGCAGCAGCCTGCCTGCAGCAGCCCCACTGCCCCCTCCCTGCTCTATGGGACTGCCAGGGAAAGGATCCCTGCTGCAAACACCTCACCAGAGCCCTGTGTCCCCCACTCCCAGCCTGAGAGCCCTGCAGAAGAAACATCCCCTCTCCCGATGCAAAGCCATGGACCACCTTGGTCGATCCACATCAGCTCATCTCAAACCCAGCACCAGCCATTCCTGGCCCCCAAGTGATGCTGCTGGCATGATCTGGACCACATCTCCATCCATTCACCTGCCTTTGAGATGCTGCTGCTCTTGGCACTGGAAGTGTGGTCCCTCTTCCCCAAGGTCCAGCACAGCAACACCAGCAGGGAATGCAAAGGGAAAGAGCTTTCTCCAGGTATAACCTGCTATCCCAGACTGTTTATGCCTTTTGTTTCAGCACAAGTATATAAACACATGGAAAGCTGCATGTCTGCCCCCTCATGCTGTCTTCGCTCTGGGGATGCGTCCCTAAAAGAGCTGCTTCGAGCCCCCCTCATGCTGCTTCGAGGGGAAATCCCTTTGCTCTGGGGTTGTCACTACAATTTATGACCAAGCAGTAGCAACCACAGTCACCTCGTGCCACTGAGGCCAGCCCAGCCCTGGGGCAGCAAAGCACAGAGGAGGAAACAGGGAGTACAGAGGGCAGGTTGGACCCAGTGATGAATGTGTGTGAACGTGTGAGGTTTTGTGCCCGTTTAAGAGGGAGCCTCAGCAGGCACCGCTCGAGCAGTGTCTTTTCATAGCTGTTCCCACAGAGCTGGGTCCCTCAGGGATCTTGGCTCCAGCTCCAGGGTCAGCTCAGCCCCCCACAGCCCAGAAAAGATCCTCAGCTTCACCCAAGAGAAGAGGCGGTGGTGGGAAAGAAAGACCCAGGGAACCTTGCAGAAGAGATGGAAGGAGGGGGCTTTCATTATCCAGAGAAAGGGAAAGGTGAACCCTGGGCTTCCAGCAACGCACAGACATTCCCTACAACTTCCTTTCCCCATTTCAGCCCTCCCCGTGCGAGCAGAGGTGGCTCCCACCTCGCCCCTCGCAGTGGCTTCCCAAACCAAACAGCAACAGGAAACTTCAATGAAATTCAAAAGGGAAATTGCAGTTACCACCGCCCGACACATACACACGTGCCTTCCTCCCCTCCACACACCCCCCCTCCAACCACGAGAAGCAGAGGGTCTTTGCTACAAGGCAGCCCCTACTCAAACCCCATTCACAGCAGCCACACTGCCCGCGGGCGCAGCAGAGCGAAGCACAGCCCCGGCTTGGGCGCTGGCGACACATCCACGTGCTGGGGACGTGCAGGAGGAGCTGCTCCGTGTCCCATCTCCCATGCAAGGCCAGCGAGTGCTTTGGATCTGTGGTTGCTGATGAGGATGTGCAGGAATGAATGGGCTGCGTGTGACGGGCACGGTGATGAGGTGGGGGTGAGGGGAGGAGGAAGAGCGCCGCGCTATGCCTCCGTTGCCTCCGCTCCTCCTGCGGCCTCCTTAGGACGTCACAGGCTGGATGGGGAGCAGGCTGCCGAACTTAAAGTGCTGGATCACAGGAAACTTCTCCAGGCACTGCAGGAGAGATAAAGAAGGGTGAATTCAGGAGACGTTTGCACCTTACGCATGCAGCCAGAGCTACATCCTGCCTCTGGGGTCAGGAGGCAGTGTGTTTGGGGCTGCTCGGCTCAGCTGCAGGCAGAGGGGTCAGTCCCATGTCTCCCCCCACAACATTCCTGTCAGGCTCCTCAGGCCAGTGACACTTCATAATCCCATCCCCTTCCCTTCAGGCAGAGCCTGTTGCCTGCTGAAATTCAGGCCTGGAGCATGAGCAGAAGAGGCATGTTGATGTCAGCAGCTTTCTCTCTCACCACCTCTCCTTGCTGGAGCTGATCCCTTTGAAGAGCTTCACTCTACAAACACTTTGAGAGCTGCAGAAATGCCCCCAGGGAAGAGACTCTCCCTCCCCAGGACAGTGCCACTGGGTCTGAGGCATCACCCTGCAGCCCCAAGGCACTGCCCAAACTGCATTCCAGGTGCTCAGGTCTTTGACAGACAAGCACCAGGGATTTTGCTGCCATAATTTAAGACGTGACACTATTCCTAACAACCTCTCACCCTGAAGTTCCCACCACCATTGCAGAGTAATGATGGAAGGAGTATGGATCACAGATCAGCCGTATACACCCACTACAAGGCAGCTTAAGATGTGAGGGCACAGCCTCCTCTGCTCACCATGCTGCCAGGGCAGGCAGGTCAGTGACTGTGGTCAATAACCATGTCTGGTTTGCCAGCACCAGCCTGGCACAGCCACTCAGGAGCTCTGTTTCTTTGAGTCATTGCAGATTCAGACTGCCCAGAGCTCAGAAGGCACAGAGCAGACTCACCTCAAGACACACAAACCTCAGCAGTACGTGTGGACCAGCCCCACACTGCACCTACACCAGCATCGCTCAGGTCACTTGTGAGTAGTTGTGCTGAACAAGGGCCATAGAGCACCTCACTGTGCTGCAATGGGGACTCATCTACCAGGGTGCCTGGGTACAACTAGTAAGGTGTTGGCCACCTCCTCGCTGTAGGCAGAGGGGCAAGTTCTTCCCTCCCTAGACAGCATGATATGAAGAGAGAAAAAAGAAAGCCAAGTGCTCTTGGGAAGAGAGCCTTTCCCCTGTACGCAGCTGAGGTATGGATCTACTGATGGGAGTCTTGTTCTACAGGAGATGTGAAGTACAACCACAGCACAGCAGCTACGAACGAACAGGAATCCATCTACGCTCTTGGCAGAAAGAGCATCTGCTCAGAGCTGGAGGGATGGATGCTGCACTAGGCAGGCACCCAGCTCCCCACAAGCTGCAGCCCCAGAAGGAGGGTGTCAAGGCCACACTGGCTCCTGCCTGCAACCAACAGCCTCCCAGACACATCTCAGGCACAGGATGCACAACTCATTCCTCCAGGCTCTTCTTCAAAGCACAGTTCCTTCCTACCAAAGGGAGGCAAGAGCCATGCTGTAGTTACCACTCTTCTTTCCATAGGAGCCTTGTGCCCTTCACCAGGCTGCAGTGGGGGAGATCCCAGAGTGAGGAGGAAGCAGTGTGCTGCAGACAGCTCTTCCCCCTGAGGCAGGCAGCCTGCCCTTGTGCTGTCATCACAGGCAAGCAGGCAGATTTTTGCTCAGAAGCCCAGGCCTATGGTAATCCCTCTGGAGCCAGAGGTCAGACAACTGGTTCCAGCACAACTGAACTGCTCCCAAGCGTGCTAGAGCCAAAACAAGTTCGGAGGTGGTGAAAGTACACCACAGCACTGTTCAATCCTGGGGAACAACAGCCACACAGAAAATCACATGCCTCCATGGCAAGGCACCAAGGAGAAATAAGGCCTGTGACCATCAGGACACATCACCTTTAAAGCTTCCTAAGGCTCAGAGCTGCTGCCATCTCTCTGCACAACCCCTCAGACAAACCCTTGGGGGAAGCAGGGCTGGATAACAGTGACATGAGGGGAAGAGCTGACAACTGAGTACCGGAGATGTTGACAGCTAGAAATGTCAGCCCAACTAGCTCCAAGGGGTCCCATGGAAGACCAGACTGGTTTGGGCTTCAGATGAAGAGCCTTTCCCACCAATGGGAACAATGGCTATCCATTCCACTTAACATATTGCCAGCCCAAGAGGAGACAAGCAGAGAAACTTCCACCTCTATCCAGCAGGACAAGCACAAATTGACTGGATTACTAGAGGGGCCAAGAGACAGGACTTTCCTTGCATCATTTTGGGTGAGACTGATGCAGCCAACACTGGCTCAATGGAAAGGACAGGCTTATTTTCTTCTTGTCACCATCCTGATCACACTGAAGGTCTGCTTGGGACTCAACTGGGGAGTAGATTCTCTCATCGAGTCCACCCTTTAAAGATGGAACTGGGACTAGATTAGTTACAATGGAAAGTATTTCCCGAGTGACTGCAGAGAAGGAAAGGTCAGGAGACTCAAAAGCAGGCTCAGGGGGAAAACATCAAGGCTGCTGCTTTAACCAGATTCTATTCTGTCAACTCTTCACTCGCTTTTGATGGAAAGAATAAGAAATGCCCTTGTGCTTGCACACATCTTCACCCATTATATTTCTATTATAAATAGACACATTTGAGATTCCATAAACACATAGAGCTGAAGACACATTGTCTTCAGTCTACTGCCCACCCACAGACCCTGCAGCAAGCACCCTTGAGCACCTAAATCCAGACCAGAACTCCCAGCCATATGGATGTACCTGGACTTGCTGTTGGCTGATTAAAGTCATCCCACAGAAGGGACAGAGAAGAGATAAAGCATCCAGAGTGCTTTTAAATGACCCAGGTCTGGGGACTGCCCCACTCCTACCAAGTGAGAGCAGGTTATGAGTGAGCATTTGACATCTCCTGGTCTGCTCCTAGCAAGTGAGCCCTTTGCTGCGCTGCTGCCTCTATTTAAAACCCAGCACTGAGCACTTCAGCTCAGGAGCTTAAGCTTCCATCAGTGTCTGATTTCACCAGATCTACCTGCACTGGGTGATCAGAGGGGCAGGGAGAAGGGAGGGGCACTTTGCTTGACTCAATGAGTTCTACACCTCAGCCTAAGTTTGTGTCATTACTACCCCCAGCAGTTTGTGTGCTCTCCCCATTGACACAGCTCTAGGTATTTCCAGCAACCCACCAGTACTGGATCCAGCATTCCCACAGAACATCCTCTGCTACTCAAATCAGACCAAGGCCTCCAGAAAAGACATCTTGGCTGCACCCAGAGGAGCCAAAGAACCCAGCACTTTCTAGAGGATCCTTAAGCTGTGCCAGAGAGATCTGCCCCAAAACACCAGTGGACAGGCACACTGCACTGTGGGCATATCACTGCCAAGCTCCTCCAGCCATGTGCATGAAGTGGAAGCAACCCTAGAGTGCAGGGCATGGGGGCACCAGTCAGGAGCACCCAAACAGTACAGGGCATGTGGGATGCCTGGGGAGTACTCAAACAGCATGCAAAGGAACTGATGGAAAGGAAAGGAAGGACAGAGGCAGGGCTGTTGAGGCAGCAGCAGAGCACACTCTAGCTTTTAGGGGACCACTTTAACAGCATTCCCAGGGCTGGGGTCTTCCCATCACCCCCCCCAGCTCTCACAGCAGAGCCTCCAGCTCTGGGTTTCCTGGCAGGCAGCAGAGCTGTGAGCAGGGGCAGTCCTGGAGGAGCAGCTCAGGGGCACCCCTCCGAGGAGCAGCCAGGGGAGGGGGTCACCCCCCAGCCCCACTTCTCCTCCTCTTTGGAGGCTGGGAGGAAAACTGAGCTGGGGGCGGAAGGAGCCAGCGGGCCTGGGAGTGACACCTCACAGATTAGAGAGGTATGTGGCCTGGAACCTAAACACAGGATGTGCAGTGCAGAGGAAGGGCTGGGGGAGGGAGCGCCGAGTTCGGCACAGTTAACCCCTTTGTGCGCTGGGCCTGAGCTGCCCGCCAGCCTCTGCCATATGTCCCAGCTCCAGGAGCGTGGCTGCCTTGAGCAAGAGACCACAGAGAATAGGATTAACTCTTTCAAGCACTGCTGGTCCCCCCGGGCGCCCCAGGGAGTTGCACCATCCCTGCTCCTCCAGCATCTTCAGCACAGCCCGTGCCGCCCTGCAGAGCCAGCATGCTCCCATCCTTCCCAGCAAGAGATGCTGCCTGTTGGCCGTTCCCTCTGGAGGCCCAGATGTGGTGGTTCCTGTCCTGCTTCCTAAAGCTCGGGGTTAGCTCGAGCAGGAAGGAGAGATAAGGGAGAGCCAAAACTGCCCAGTTCCTCAGGTCAGGGCTGGCCAGGAAAGCCTGCTGGGGCAGCGCCAGCACAGCCCCGGTGCGTGGAGGGCTGCCAAGCCCAGGAGGTAGCAGTGGCCTCACCGTGCACACTGCATGGGTGGGACATGGGTAGGAAGTGTTCAGCCTGCTCTGGGGCTCCTGAAACATGGGATGATGATTTAAACTAAGTCTCCTTCAGCTGGTAAAACAACAGTGTGGGGACCAGAAAGCCAAGCAGGGCAAGACATCAGCCCTAACCCTTCAGGTTAGATATAAAGAAGAAGTTCTTTACTGTGAGGGTGGTGAGGCACTGGCACAGGGTGCCCAAAGAAGTGGTGAATGCTCCATCCCTGGCAGTGTTCAAGGCCGGGCTGGACAGAGCCTTGGGTGACATGGTTTAGTGTGAGGCATCCCTGCCCATGGCAAGGGGCTGGAACTGGATGATCTTGAGGTCCTTTCCAACCCAAACCAGTCTACGATTCCATAATCTAATCTGGCGACCTGCAACTTGCACTATGGGAAGACAAGAAAGGGTAAAAGTCATGTCTGCATGGAATGGCCAATTTGGGATTGGACTGGGGGCAAGCACTAGGCAGGCAGAAGCCTGCTCCTAGCCAGCAGCACCTGAACCATTCTGCACCTCCAAGCCCCATTCAGCATGGGACAGCAACTTGCTGTGATGGGGGCCCCACACCAAGGAGCAGCAGAAGAGCTGACCCACAGTGCAGTGGAAGGGAGGAGGCGTGTGGGGAAAGCAGCCTCCCCCTGCCCATGGCGCTCACCTCTGCCTTGTACATGCGGATGAGGCCCTGGTTGACCTTGGACCAGGAGGGCACGGCGCTGATGTTCCAGAGCTGGTTGGAGTGCTCAGCAAAGGGACCCGTCTTCATCTGAAAGAGACCCAAAGCAGGGCTGAGGGAGCCAGGCCAGCCAGGAGCCTCGTGCACCAGCAGTGACTCACGCTCACACTCTCTCCAAGCAAACATTCCCACCAAGCCCTGTGACCCACGCAGCAGCCACCTCACTGCGCCTTCCCTCCCTCCCTCCTGCTGCGCCCGCATCACACGAGGCCGTGGCAATCCAGCTCCCCACCTTCCTCAATGGAATTAAAACCTTTTCCTGCCACGCTTTCCTCATCTGCACACCTCCCTTTTACTGACTGCATTAAAAAAGCCCCACATAAGTCCCATTCTCCCCCCCCCAAGTAGAGCTTGGCTCAACGCTGTTCCTATTCTACCCAGAAACCTCACAGTGCAGCTCTGCTGGGCTTTCCAAGAAAATGACTCATTCCCCATTCAGATCAACAACAGGCAGCAGCGACAACCGCCGCTGCCTTCCCTGAATACAGAGGGCAGTGCAGGTTGGCAGCAGCTCCGGTGCCTGCAGCCCATTCCACACCTGCCTCTAGCACAGGAGGGCTCTGTGGGGAGGCAGGAGCAGAGGGGACACGCTCCACTACCACTCTCCAAACTGGCTCCATGGCTGCGAGCTGCAGGCTCACAGCAGATGCTTTAAATATATCTTGAATATGGGGGGTTGTATTTGAATATCCCAAGGTTTCTCCTCCTATGGTTTGGAAGAGGGAGGCCCGGGGGGGGGGGGAGCTGCAATCAGGGACAGTTGCATGGAGATTCCCTGGGTCGTTGTCTCTCCTTCTCCTCCATGAACAAAACCAGACCCTCGGGGAGAAAAAGAAACACAAGGCAGCCACTCTGACTGAGTGAAGTTCCCATGACATCAGAAACCACAAGGCCGAAGCTCACGCTAAAAGGGAGCGTGGGGAGAGAGGAATCTCTTGGATTCTCCTTCTCCAACAACTAACCCCTTCCCTCCGCGCACGCACAGGCCTAGAGCGAGGGTGGGAAAAGAGCCTCCAAAACCACCCCTCTGCCTGCTCTAAAAGCAAGCAAAGCCAACCAATCTGCTGTGGGAAATAGCTGCTGCCCTTCTGCAATGTCTGTGTGGCAGCAAAGAGGGGAGGGAAAGCCAGAACACCCCACTGCTTGGAGGACAGCGTGTTTCAAACGCACTGACCACGGGGCTGGAGCACCAGAAGCGGGTCTGTAGCTCTGCCTGCAGTCGGGAAAGCGCAGGCGCATCCCCACTTCCCCTCGGCAGTGCTTGGGAGCCGGCGGGATGCCGGATGAACTGCGCAGCCATTCCCGCTCCCCTCCACCGTGCACGTTCCTCGCGGACACGAGATGAAGCACGCAGATACACAAAGCACGATGCTGTATTAAGCACGAGGATTTGGCACCCAGAGGCTGCCAGGGAGCTCGGCGCCAGCCGGGTCGCTCGCAGCATCCCCCTATGGGAGCTGTGGCTGCGCGCCTTTCGACGCCAAACGTCCCTCCAGCATGGCTGCTCTTCGCAGGGGCACAGCTTGCATCAGCCACCACCACCACTCTGCTTTGCTTCTCGCCCCCTCTAAGCTGGAGTGAGCGTGTTGGTGAGCACAGAAGAGGCAAGCATGGCTCTCCAGCCCCATGCTCGCACCACCGCGGCCCTCCTCACGCAGGGTGCCAGTGAGGGATGGCTTGGCTATGGTTTCCTACTGGGGAGGGAAAAACAAGGAGGATGAAGGAGGGGGAACCAAAAGGAATCATCTCCTTCCAGCCACAAAGGGCGAAGAGGGAGAGCGGGAGGGGAGAGCAGAGGCAGCGAGCACGCTGCAGTCCCGCAGTGACCCCAGGGGAACGGAGTGAGTCAGAGCAGCCATATTGAGCAGGAAATTACTCACAGACGCGGCGTTCCTGCCTCTCGGTTCCCAAGAGAATCGGCCTTTTGTAAATGGTTCCTCTGTCAGTGCCGGGGGGAGGGGGACGGCTGAGGCCGTGCTTTCCTGTCAGCTCCTTCCCTTCCAGCAGAAACCCGAGCCCTCCCTTCCCAAACCTCCAAATTTAGAAGCCAGATTGAAGCTGAAATTCCTGCTGCCTGCCCTGGGCCCTTGGAGGAGCATGTGGGCAATCACAGCGCTCCACTGCAACAGCCGGGGGGTACCCGCACCCCTCTTCTGCACAAACACACACAGCCCTGCCACTGCTGCCACCCACAGCCCCCGGGGCAGCAGGCACCACAGAGATGCTCCCAAACCATCCTCATGCCCGCACCTATGGGTACTGCACACACCCTGCAGCACACTTTGGCAGCACGGGGACAGCTCAAGTCCCAGCCAGCTCCACAAACCTCACCCTATTCCAGATCCACACATTCAGGTCCAAAATGACCCCACAGATTTCCCAGCTTATGCAAGGCTCCTGCAGGGTGGTGCTTGGTGAGCCCAGGATGGACATCACCTTGCTGCTACTTGAGGTTTAAATATACACGTGGCAAACCCCACGACAGTGTGTATTCATACCCTGAAACGTCACACAGAGGCTGAGAAAAATACCTGCTCAAGAGCATATCCTCTTGGTTGAAGGAAAACAACCAGCCTTGGTTGTAGCTTGCTGAAACAAAACCTGCTCTCACATCGGTAACACATACCGGAGACACTATGGGAACTGCTGCGGTGTATGCTACGTGTTTAACAATACTAAAGGAGAGCTGTTTCCAGCTGACAAGCTCAGAAGAAAAATCACATCGTTCATTTATTAAAGGTTTTAATCCCTTCTCTCTTCTTTCCCTGCTATTTTGTTGTCGATTTTGGAGAGAAAGCGGTTGGAGGGCACTTGAGGCTGTCCCAGCCCCACCTAGCGGCAGTAACAGCATTCCCAGGAACTGGGGAGAGAAAGAAAACCCCAAAATTTAAAGGCAAACTCTTCCTAAAGAGAACCGGTGCCTGCATGGAGATGGATTGAAAACACCATGCATTTACCAACGCAGGTTGCTGCCATCCATCAGCGATCACGCCAGGCGGGCTCCTTGCCACCAGGTGGCACTGAGGAACTCAGAGAAACGCCAAATTCCAGGATTCTCAACAAATGTGCAGGAAAAGGAGCAAAATCACTCGCTTTAGAAGTCTCCCAGGAAGCTGACTTTCTGCAGGCAAAAGCAGAGTGACCTGAAGCTGCAGCTTGGTGCTGTGTATCTTAAACCTGACGTGTCAGCTGTGCACTGCAGAACACTACACAGACACGTCAAGGGATGCATGGGTTTATGTTTTTAACAGCTCAGTGCACTGTCTGGGTATGACAGAGGCCCAAATTATAATGAAGCTTAAAGTATCTTGGCTCCCACTTTCCTGTCCTCATCTTGATCTCCTCTACCAGCACCTCTTTACTACCTGTGGCAAGATTTATGTCCACATTAAGGGTGAAACCCTGTGAGGTGCTAAGCACCAACAAACCCTACTACATTCAGCAGGATTTGAAACAGAGTTTGTGCCAAAAGCTCCATGAAAATTTCCTACGTGAAAAGCTAAGTTCATATTCTGTAACCTCCCTTCTCTCTAATCTCTAAATTAGAGCTGAGTAGGGGGGAAAAGCAAACAGAACAAAGGGGAAGAATCACACTCTCACCTCCAAAGCAGCTCTGTCTTACAGAGACAATAAATCCCTTACCACAGCAGAGCATGGAGCTCTTGCTCTCTGCCCAGACCACACAGGGGGACAGTAGAATCATGGCCAGATGATCCAGCTGAGGGCAGAAAGCTGTGAGCTCTCTCACTGAGAAACACTGCCCATGGCTGGCAACAGGCCGAGTATCACCAGCCCCTCACCTCAAGGGTCCTATAGTGCTTGAGCAGAAACACAGTCCCGATAGTGTTGCCAGCTGAGTGAATCTCAGCACCATCTCTGCTCCAGACTGTGTGCAAATGAGGCACGTTTAATGGGCAGCTCCTGGTAGAACATGGAAGAGACCAAGGTGCACAGAGGTTTGGGAGCCTGCCCTAAGCAAGGGGAGGCCCAGGGCCTGGCAGGCAGTGCCCAAGGGCTGCAGGGAGGGGAGGTGATCTTGGCAAGCCCAGCTGGTTTGCAGCTCCTACTTCATCTTCCTAGCATACTTGCAGGCACCAGTCTTCTCCATCCGAGTTCCCACTGACTGATCCAAGGTGATTTGTTTGCTCTTGTTACAGTTCCCTTCAACTGCAATCCACAGCCCATCTACCTTAATTATACTTCCCTCTCAACATCCCTGTCTCAACTCATTCAAGGAGAGCACCTCAGACATGCAACAATGGTTCATCCACACAGTTCCATGAGAGCAAACTAACAAGCAAAGGAGGAAGAGAAAACCACAGTATCTACTGTAAAGAGAACTTCCCTGTGGGACAAACTCCCTTCCAGTCCTCACCTCTGTAATGAACAGGATGCACTCCAGGAACATGAAGTCCTTATGGTTTTCATTTACCACCTTCTCATCAACAAAGTGTCGAGGCTCCAGACTTGGATGGTCTAAAAAGAGACAATAAGAAGTAACCTGGATGCTATCTCCCTCCTGAGACCGAGTTCAACCAGGTCTTTTCCTGTCCCCCTTTCAGAAGAAACAGGATCCCCCCACTGCAGAGCTCTTCAGAAGAAACCACAGAGCTGCCCCCTTCCATCTTATCTCCCACTCCAGTGCCTCAGCACTGGTAAACTCCCCATGGCAAAAAAGAAATGTGTTTTCTAGCTCCAAAACCAAACCTCTCCTTTTAAAAAGCTTGCAGCCATTGCAATGAAGACAGATGTACTGTTCAGAGAAGCCTTCCACCTCCCAACCTAAGCAGCCAGCTTCATTTGGAAAGCTGAGGGAAAAAACACAATAATCCAAGCCCCAAGGAAACTCTTCTGCTGCACCACACACAAATTTGACATATTTGAATTTAAAAGTCTCAAACCCCAACATTTCTGCAACTCAGACAGACAGGGGGCAGGCTGGGACATGAGAAGGTTTTCATTAGTACCTATCAGCTGGGAACTGCCCCATATGAAAGGTAGAAACTGGAAGTCATCCAAGCCCCACACGCCCTGGCTGCCAGCAGGCTCCATCCTGTAGGTCTTCTGAAGTTTTCGCATCACTTCAAGGTACCTGAGACCAAGGAGAGAGGTAAGAGTTAAGACAAGGTCTTCCTCTATCTCCACTGACTTACATGAGGCCAAGAACCACCAGTCTGCTTACAAGCAAGACCCCCATCTACAGCACAGTACATGGAATTCAACTCCTTTGCCACAGAAAGCAGCCTGAAGGTACGTATAGTAGTAAATTCCAGCCCCTTCTAAAAACTGTTGGTTTGGTTTGTGGTTGGTTTGGGGATTTTTACACCAAATTCACTAACAAATCAAGCGGCAGGGCTCTATTTTATTGAATGTGTCTCATGTTGGTGCAGACCTTCCCTCACCCCCCCTGTTATTTGATAACACTGACACTTTGCTCTCCTTCAACAACTTCCAGAAGACCTCAGAAAGCTTTCCCCCTTATGGCAACTGCTACCTCCACTTTTCAGCAGGAAAACTAAAACTGGAAGCACCACTGAAGGAATTCTTTCCCTGCCACCAAACAGTGATACAGCTGGGATCAGATCTCTGGACCCCAAACACCCATTCCAGCAGTTCTATCAGTACCAACTCTACCTCCCGGGCTGGAAACACACCTCGAGGAGCAGTGGGGACCTGCCAGCTTCATAGAGGGCTTTTTAAATGCCTGGAGAGCTGTTGGATCCTCTGATCAGATCTGTCTGTCACAAAGCACAGAGCTTCACCCATGTACCTCTGCAAAGCTCAGTAACTGGTGCTCAGCTCAAGTAACCTTCCAGAAAGACACTGCCTCTAACAGACAAAGCGCTCTCACCTCTTTTGGAGGCAGTTATCACAGGTCACCCACCACACAGACCATTAAACAGTACATCTGCCTCCTAGTTTTGTCTAAATTTGCCTTCAGTTTTCCCACTCTGCTCTTTTTCCTTAGGCCAGCGAGGCCTTCAGCATTCATGTTCTCCATGTACATGTCTCTGAAGGCCTTCGAGTGCTCAGCTCACACCCCAAGGAGGAGGCTCCTTTTGTTACTCCCAAATGGGTGTGGATGAGTGGAAGAAAGGGGCACAACAAGGCTACAGGAGGAGTCTGGTGCATAGAACAGGCAGTAACATCTCGCACAGCTGGAAGAGGACAGGGACCTGCCACATTGCAGCCCTTCTCCTTCCATTACCTCACCTGTTAAATACTTTAAAGACAATGGCCATCTGGTCATCCATTCTGAGCACACCAATTTTGCAGAGGCAGCAGAGAAAGGCTGCAAATGCAGCTTCGTGACCTAAAGAACATGAAGAGATGTGACACTGGTGTCTCTGGAGCCTAGGACAAGCTTCCTGTAGGCACAATGGCTCTTCAGAAATCACAGTCTTGTCTCAAGCGCCTTAATTCTACTGTCCCTATTAAAGCCATGAGCTGACAGTATTTCATCCCCACACAGCACCCTTCCCCGAAGACACCTTCTAGACATTCATTATTAACTTTGAGAAAGGAACTGCAGCTCCCAGTGGAGGAACAAAACACACCTATAGTCTCACCACCACGAGGTAGGACATGAGCCTCTGGCTTGGGACACACAGGAGGGGAGGAAAGGCTGAATTTCCTCCCCTGAGCTCACAAAACCCCAGTCACTGGGTCCCTTTCCAAGGACAACGTCTCCCCCTGGTGCCGGCGAGCAGCAGCTCTCTGGCAAGCACTGCACCACCTCCAGCTCTTCATCCTTTTACCCACGTCCTCCTCCTCCTCTCCTTATCCAGGTGCAAAGCGGTGTTTCCTTGCACCCACAGCATCCTGTTCTTCTGCCTTTTGGTGCCCGAGTACCTGTGCCATAGTCAATGCGGGTGGAATTCCCCACGGATTCCTTCAAGTACACAGCCACTTCTGGTGCAGCAGCAGCCAAATGCTTGGGAATCACTGTTGCCACCAACTTCTCTGCTTCCTGAAAGACATGACAGACTCCCTTGAATGAGTGCAGATGTGTCCCATCCCCAGGAAACAGTCCCCCCCTGCTCAGACACTGCTGCAGAGTGGGAGCTGCAATGGTGCAGCGGCCAGAGCCAGCACGGCAGAGGAGGGAATCTCCTGTTGAAGAGCTCAGCTCCAGAGACGGAGCAATCCAGGGAGAGGTTGTCCTGACATTACCCAGACCACAGGTATTGTGCAGGAAAAAAAAAGCTTCATCATCCAAGTCCATCAACCCACTTGAGTCAGCTACTCGACAAAAGCATTAAGAGAGCAGCAGACCTCCTGCAAGCTCATTGTGGCTGGGACTGTGCCACCTCCAGAGCTCACTGCAGGGCAAGTGCTCTGAGCTGAAGGAATTGGAACAGTTTCACAACCTTCCTCAGATTTTGTGTGTCAGCCACCAGCCAGCAGACAGAGGGCAGGTACAAACCAAAGGAGCTCCTTGGGTTTGGAGGGGCCTTGTGGCTCATCCAGGACCAGGAGACCCAGTCAAGAGCATTTATGTGGACCACATGCTCTCATAAGAGGAGAAGACAGCACCAGATCAGGGGTAAGTGATGCATATCAAGAGGTGGATCCTTTACAGCTCATCTGAGCAGATCCTCTTGAAACTGCTTGGCTGCACACAGGGATGGAGCTGTTCTGCTGCCCCTACTGGGCATGCTGCCCTGCTGTAGGAGCTGCACGTATGCTACACGTGAAAGCCATGCTCACCTGGTCTAGTTTGGCATACCAGGTCCTGAAGGCTTTGTTCCCAAAGCGAGAGGGTTGATCCACTGGCGGGGTTTCATCAATCCATCTGTCGAGGGTGTTCAGGAGAGCCACCAGCTTTTCAATGGGCTACAGAGACAAAGAAGATGAGGGGTTACAGTGACATAAACCAGAGCAGTCCTCCAGGCTCCAGCATCTCTGCTCTGGATTGGAGCTGTTAAGGCCCACACCATCCTTCCCAAGGGTGACAAGCAGAAACAGGATGTGCCAACCCTCCCAGAAAGGCAGAGGGCTGGGTTAGCCTTACCCTCAGCAGATCAGTCCACCACAAAGCCCAGCCTGAGGCAGGCTCTTCAGTCACCCACACAGACTTTCATGAGCTGTTAACAGCACTGTGCTCTAAAGCCTCTGGGAGAATTGCTACAGCAAGCTCCCAGCTATGGGACACACAGCACTGAGCAGCAGGGAAGTGTTACAGAGGTCAAGGATCCCCAACACAGAACTCAAGGCTCTGCATCTTGAGGGTCCTGCATCCCCCATTGGATATAGCACGGCACTTACTATACAACCTCACCAGTGGCAGGTGATGTGATTTGCCCTTCTCAAGGCCTCTAATCTTTGTCCCAAAGTCTCTTAGGAGGCAGGATTAGCAGTGTTGGTGTTTGTACAGCACCCAGCACAGCAGGGCCTAATCACAAGTCAACCTTCTCAGCACAATTCCTGTTGCTTCCAACTCATACCAGCAAGGCAGCTCCAACCCAGGGATACTCAGCGGCAAAATACAACCTATCTAGAGGCAGCCTGGTTTGCCCAAGGGTGGTTTCATCAGAGCAAGCATGAGAAGCTCTCAGTTGTCATAGAAATACCTCATCACAAACAGAAAGCTGATGGGAAGACAGCAACAGCAAGAAAACAGGGCCCCCTTTCTTATATCTAGCACGAAAGGAGGAATGTGTAGGATGCAAGAGAGTGACTGCAGTTGACACTGTTGTGGCCATGAAGGAAGAGAGATCCAATACGCAGTACAGCACAGTGTCTCAGACTGTAGTTAGGACCAGGGCTGGCCAAAGCACACAGCCTCCTCCCTGCTTTGCCCATACAGCACCAAGAGGCAACGCCACAGGCAGCACTTTAAGCAGCTCCCAATACTTGTAGGAGGCTGTGCTGATGACTGGTCAAGCCTGCCAGAGGCACTGGGATTCTCCTCGCCTGACTCCAAGCAGCTGGGGAGACCACAGCCACCAGAGCAGCTGGCCAGGCCCCAGGCAATGGAGCTCCTGTGTCTCGAGAGGGGATTCCTCCTTGAAGGGGACAAAGAGGACAGCAGAAGCAGCGGCTGGTTTGACTTTGCTGGAGGCATGTGAAGCCGGCTGGTCTCCTGGGCTGTGGTTCAATCCTTCACGTCTTGCCTGCCGGGAGGACAAGGAAAGAGCGGAGCCTAGCTCGTCTCCGGCCCTTGAAGTGGCACTTGAAGGGGCAGGCAGAGACAGGCACGGCAGAGCTGGGCTGAACCAGCTGCAGATCGCTCCCCGCATCCTCTGCTCCCAGGAGGACGGGTCCTGTGGCAGACACAAGCTCCCACAGACAGCAGCTCCCAAGCTGCCATCTCAAGGACATGGTGGGATCACCAGTGGGATCCAGCAGGACTGGGTAGAGGAGAGATCCACTCACCCCACAGGACCTCAACACTCAGCTGCTGAGCCAGGCTAGAGGCTAGGACAGATTGAGGACAAGATCTAAGTGCCAAGGGACAGAGGGGACCAGAAGCTCCTCTGGGGAGGCTTCAAGCTGGAGCCACTACAGGCCAGTGCCCCACATACACCTGGACCACAGCAGCGCAGCCCCCTCTGCTTCAGCTCCCTCCTAAAACACCCAGCACCTCCCCACTGCTCAGGGCCAGGTCTGGACTCAGCCCTGCTCCTTCCTGGCTGTTGCATTCCCCTGCAATTAAGCAACAGCCTCCCCAACCCTGGGCTGCATTAAATAATTAAACCATGCTGGTGATTTATCCACCGGCACCGGCAGCTCATTCCCAGCAGCCCCCGTATCCCAACCCCTTCCCAGCGAGCACTCAGAGCTGCCTGGATAAATGGCTGGTAAGGACCAGCTCCTTCCCCTGGGGAGCAGCAGGGTCCAACCTCCCCTTCCCCACTCACTTGCTTTAAAGGGATTGAAAAGCCCAGCCCCACTGCACATGGGAGAGCAGGACCCAGCTGCCGGCTCAGCCACGCCAATAAATAATTCAAGAGATGCAGCTCATTTTGGGCTCAAAGCCCTTTGAAAAGGGGGTTCCTAAAAGAAGCTGCCTCCCATTGTCCAGCAGAGGAAATCCTAGATCCAGAGCTAACCCTAGGTGGGAGAGAAGGAGGGGAAGAGCTGAGCTTCCCGGAACACAACCATCAGCACCACTGCAGCCTTATTTTGCCTGGCTGGGCTTTTAAGCTCTATTTTTGCTTTACCTTTCCAGTGATCAAAGCAAGGACAGCCTCCCCCCTGCTCTCCTCATTGTGCTGATTTTGCATCGCCTTGACCCTGAGCCTGCCACCGGTCCCAAAGGCAAACCACAGAGCCTCCTACAGAGCACAGACCTGTCAGCATCTCTCAAGAGCAGGGGCCAGGCAGACAGAGGTGCTAAGAAGGCATCTCAGCAGCCAAAGCTGCCTGCGGGGACCGAGCCTGCCCCTGTGGGCTCCTGGAGTAGGGGAGAGCTCCTAAAACCAGGGCATTTGCTGCTTCCCTCTTGGAGCTACAGACCAGTCAGTTTCCCTCCAGTGCAGTGGGCTGTGTGAAAGGAAGGTCTGCTTGTCACATGGCCAAAATGAACCTCCTCCTCCTCCTCGCTGCACTGCTCCTCTGATCAAAGTCACAGCTCTGAAAGTGCTCCAGGCTGCAGCCCCAACAGTTGCTGCATGGATCCCCACGTGAAAAGCATTCCCTGCAGGAGGAGAAGGCAGGTCACAGCCTATCAGTCAGACAACCTCGTGCCAGACACAGCATCTACACCAGAGTCCTAAGCAACAGCTCAGCTATCGTTGTTTGTCAGATGCCTCCAGCAAAACCCCAGACAGCTCCATGCAATCCTGCAGTAAGAACAGAGCAAGCTCAGCAAGTCTCAGAAGGGGCTCAGCCCCCAAAGGATCCAGCAGACAGTTTGGTATCGACACATGCTATGCTGGAAACCATTAAGCTGTCTCATTCAAAGCACAACAGACCATATACTTCCCTGTGTTTCTTTTCCATAGCAAAGCAATAGCAGTAGGTCACAGAGAGGATACACATTCAGCAGAAAGGATTCCAGGAGGTCATTTGCCCAAGGAAGGCATCCCCAGCATTTGATCAGGGAGGAAGATGGGATGGCACAAAAGCACATCGGCAGCAGGTACAGCAAAGGAGAAGAAAGCAGAGCAGAGATGCAAGCAGAGGCCACGAGGGGCTGAGCCTTTAAAAGCACAGATAAGCAGTTTGATGTACAAAGGAACCTGCGTGAACAGGCAACCTCATCAACAAGGCAGCCCTGGGGATGCTCCACCTGTGCCTCCAGCCACAGGCTTCTGCTCTCCTCAGCACCAGGGGGGTGAGACACATTCCCTGCCGTTTCCCAAGCAGTGGGATTGTGTCTCTTGTTTGTCACCTGGACTGGAAGCACGGATGGAAAACATTCCCTTCAAGAGGGATCTGCTGCAGGGATGCAGCCCCGATACAGAGCTGACAGCTCTGAGGGGCTGGCAGAGAATGTTTTTTCCCCCTCCTTTGTTTTGCTCATTTTTAATGCTTTGTTTCCCTAGAACTGCTCTGTGAGTGGTTGGGAATGAGGGAGATCCTGACAGAGAGAAAACTCAGAGGTGAATGCAAACAGCAGAAAGCAAGAGCAGCATCTGACAGCAGTTTCTACTGAACTGAAGGAACAAAAGGTGGACGCAAAGCCTGTTGGGGAGGGACTTGTTATCCCTGATCCCCCCTCCGCAAGAAGTACAAGCAAGTTTCTCATCCATACACTGGCTCCTAGAAGGGAAGGCTGGATTCAACATGCCTGCTTCAAACATAAATGACTAGGTTAAAGATGACTGTAGGCTGCCTTCCCACACCAGAAATAAGCTCGAAACACACAGAACCCAGCCTGCTGCCCATTCTGCCTGGATCTTTTTAGACTATTCCCAGCTTTCTTGCACAACCATGGTAAGTTTGAGCAGTAAAATGCACCCAAGAATCTCTTCATTGAATACAGAACAAGGGAGGGGGATCCAGCATGCAGCACAAAAGCAAAGGTGGTGGCCTAATCTGCTCTGTAGATCACAACAGCACCCACAGAGCCCTCAGGCCAGCAGTGAGGACAGCTGAGGCCAGGTAGTAACACCAATGAGGACACCTTCCCTCTCCCTTTGGCTTCAAATGGTTTTGCTGTGCTTGAATAAAGTGAAGAAGCCCTAAAACTGGCTGCAGCACAGCCAGGTGACAGTCACATTGAAGCAAGGGGAAAAACACATCCTTTCTGCTTAACACCTTGGAAGGGGCAATCCTGCCCCACAGGCTAACCCAACCACCCCAGCTCCCGTCTGCTCCACAGTCCCCATAGCAATTTGCTATGGCAAAGCAGGGCCAAAGACATGCCCTGAGCTTGCACACTGTCAAACCAGACCCTGCACAGCTCAGCTGCTGTGAAAACAGGGTTAAAATACGTCCTTTTCTGCATCCTCCTCCTCACCACCAGCCAGCCCCTGTCCACTTGTAATTTGCTTCATTTCCCATCCAGCGAGCACACACAGAGCCTCTGCATCCTGGAGGGAGGACTGCAGGCTGACATTTGCATCCCCAATTGCATTTATTCTCCCTGGCTCCCAGCTAAGCTGCCAACTCATTCCTCACCTAGGAAATATTCACTGTAGAGCCAAAAACAAAAGGAAAAAGGGGAAAAAAAGGCAGAAAAGAAAGGGATCCAACCTCTTCTCCTACCTCTGAAACCTTGTATTCGCAGGTCAGCTTCTTGCCCTTGACACCTTCATTCAGAGTGAGGATGAAGCCCATGTAATCTGCATATGCCTGCAAACACACCCAAGAAAGCAGGGTGTTAGGGAGCACCCATAGTCTGCCTGACCAAGCAATATGGCATGGAAACGCTCTTGCACTCCCAAGGAACCCTTCCCAACAGGCAATGCTGCTCTCTTGGAGACAGCCAAGGTGCAGGGCTGGCTGTGAGGTTACTGCTATTTTGGGCAAAAGGCAGATGGTGACTGCACCAAGAACTCTGCATCCTGTGGAAACAGAGAAGAGAATCCTAAAAATGCCCCTGAAATCATTCCTGCAGCTCCCTACCTCCTGCCAGTTCAAATTCAAGCTCAGCTGGGCTCAGTTGTGCCCAGACATCCTGCTCTGCTTCTCCCAGACCTGCACCATTATCTCCCCTTTCCTCCCTCGACTCTTCTCCCATGCTCATGCATTTTAGAGAAGTGGGAGACAGCCCAGGCTGCTCTTCCCTTTAAATTGGCTGCTTTTGAAGCACCATATCCAGTGTCTGGGAACCGTAGACAAGCACACTGCCACTTCTCCCTCCTCAGGCCTCTCTTACACAGAAATCCTGACCAGGAGCAAGTCCTTAAACCCAGGAGACCAAGCAAAGAAGCTGCACTCAAAGATCTGCCTGACACCTGGCTATAACTTAAGCTTCTCTTAAGACATCACAGATCAGTCTGGAAGGGAGAACTTGCTCCTAAGAGGTGGGACAAGTCTGGGCTAACACACCAAGCCCTCAGAGGCAGGAGGGCTGTTCCACCAGCTCCACACATACTGTAAACAGAAATTACCCAGGCAATTGAAGGCCTGGGCTGTAGAGCCCTTTCCAGTACAGCAGGGTGGGAAGGCCTCAGGATACAACTCAGACTGGTGCTATTAGAGGACCAGGACCACATTGAGTTTGATCAGTGCTGGGTAAATCCAGTTTTGGTGTAATGTCAGACCACGTAGGGTGGAATAGTTACCGGCTTCTTGTTGAGCTTGCTGGGAGGGAGCACTAATGATTTTTAAGCATCTCTGGGCTCTCTGAACATCTGGGCTCTCCCTGGCTCCCTCCTTTGTTGAAGCATTTTGCTGCCAAGTAATTTTCCTACAAAGAGGCAGTGACTCTTCTGCTTTAAAACACAAACCAATTCATTTCCCATTACTTGCCCAAACCTGCTTTACCTCTTGGCTGCTCCCAGACCAGACCTGGCTGCCCCTGAAGCATAACCACCACTTACCAGTCTTCCCTGAGCCCAGAGCCGTACCTGAGAACGCTTCCACTTGGCCATGTCAGAAACCATGTTTATCTCCTTTTTGGGGATCATGAAGCATTGCTGGAGGGGAGGAGTCACCTCCTCAGTAGTGCCTGGGAGATGCAGAAAAGAGGTAAAATAGAGGCAGTGGAGAAGGAATTCTCTATCTTTTCTTAGAAATCAGCATGTATTTCTTAGGAGACCTCTCCCAGCTTGCACTGTTAACTCACCAAGTCCTCCTCACCAAACAGTGCCCTCCCAATCCCCAGATAACATACTCCTAAGGACACTGCAAGGCTTCAGAAAGTGGCATTACGTTTGTTTTCCCCTGCATTTCCCATCCAGGCAGAGAGGCTGGTGCAGGAGATAACAAAGACAACACCCACCTAGTTTCAGTCTAGTGAAGCCAAGCCTCAGGCCACGTGGAGCACTGAGCTCTCCTAACAAACCAACCGCGCCTTGGGTTTAGGGTGTTAAACCTGAGCTGCTCTCCTCTAAAAAGGCCAACTCCTGCAAAGATAAAGCTGGAGCAATTCAATAGGTGGCACTCCAGAGCCGCAGCCCCTGGTCCCGGCAGCACAAGGGCTTGGAGGATTCCAAGACACAGCCTCTTCCAGGGGGATGCTGTGAAGATCATTTCATTTTAAAGCTCTCCCAGAGCCCAGAATGTAATATTTAATCCAAACACAAGTTGTTAATGCTCTAGAGGGGCTCCTTTCCCCAGCCTCCAAACCAAGGTTTGCTGTGAGGGGGATGGCAATGGGACACTGGAAGCCACAAATGCTGCATGAAGTTAGAGGTGATTTGCATTATACTCCTATAAGTGTAGCTTTCAACAGCAAGAAGCAGGCAGGAGACCACTGTTAAGGAACCTGGGTGCTGATGTGAGACTCTGCATTGTGTTAGAGTCACCCAGTTCAGTTTGTTAATCCTAGAACATCTGAGGGCATTTGCTCAGCACCAGCTTCAGCTGCTGCTCTCTGCACTAAAGCAAGTTCAAGCACTGGCTCCCTAACACACACATAGAATCATAGAATAGTTAGGGTTGGAAAGGACCTTAAGATCATCCCATTCCAGCCCCCCTGCCATGGGCAGGGACACCTCACACTAAACCATGCCACCCAAGGCTCTGTCCAACCAGGCCTTGAACACTGCCAGGGATGGACCATTCACAGCTTCCCTGGGCAACCCATTCCAGTGCCTCACCACCCTAACAGGAAAGAATTTCCTCCTTATATCCAATCTAAACTTCCCCTGTTTAAATTTGAACCCGTTACCCCTTGTCCTGTCACTACAGTCCCTAATGAAGAGTCCCTCCCCAGCATCCCTATAGGCCCCCACCACAAACTCCAACTCCTTAAAGCATAATGAGCTGCGTTTACATGGAAAACACTACCCAGGAGCATGAGCAGCCCTTTCTGCAGCACAGCAGCGCTGTCTTGGGGGCAGATTAAGGGGAAAAAAGGAATCCCAAGTCACAGGAACCACTGTGACCTGGGTCTGCTGCAGACTGTCACACAAGCTTCAGTAGTCGTTGAGCTTCTCTGCCTTTCAGATTCCTCATCTCTGGAACAAACCTCATCACCTGCCCGGGGTGTTTATGGTTAATTCCAAAGTTACAGTAAAACTTCCAGGTACAAGGATAGAGGGACAGCGCGCAGGGAGTTTAAATGGAAGTCACACACACCTCCCCTGGAAATCCAGCACACAGCTCAGTGACCAGCACAGCAACCACGGAGCTCTTACTTTAAAAGAGCTTGGAACACCAAAACAACGATAAACACCAGAGCCGTGGGGGGAAACGGCAAACAGTGACTTGTTCCATCAATACAGATAGTACAGAAAGGCCAGAGATGGGGCCAGGGCAGTGCCCTGGAGCGGGGGGACCCGGGTCTCAGCCCAGCCTGTGCCTTATCGCAGAACTTGGGTCATCTTTCTTATTTGTTTCTCAGCCATTCCTTTCCTCACACACACACACACACACTTCGTGCATTGCCTCTTGGGGAGGGGACCACTGATACTGAAAGAAGGAAGCACAGTGCGGGCTGCAGAGGTTGTAATAATACAGAAGCAAAAGTCCAAGCTCGTGGGGAAGGGGTGCAATGGACCCCTGCAAACAGCCCCCAGCCCAGCACGGGAAACCGGCGTCACAACAACCGGGCTGTGGGTGCCGGGGAGCCCCGGCTGCAGCAGCTCCAGCACCCCAAAACCCGACCGTGCAGGCCCGAGGCTCCCCCGCCCGTCCCCGCTCCCTGCGCTGGGTGCAGAGCCCAGCCCAGCCCCGCCGCCTCGGGGTGCGGGGGGGGGGAACAGGCGCAGCGGGGCCGGTGCCGGAGCTCCCCTCCCGGCCCGGCCCAGGGTCAGGCGGCTCCAGGGCCCCTCCGCAGCCGCAGCAAAGCCGCTTTCCCCTTCACCCCCCTCAGAACCGGGCACTCGCTGCCGTCGCCCCCGTGCAGCACAAGGCCCTGCGGGCCTCCTCCCACACACCCTGGCCCGGCCCCAAAGACACCCCCGAAGGCCCCGAGCGCAGCCCCCAGCCCCGGAGGCCCCGAGGCCGCCCCTCACCTGCCCGCCGCTCGCTCTCTGCCATCTTCCCGGAGCCCCGCCGTTGCCGCCACCCTTCACCCCTCACCTCCGGCCACGCCGAAGCCGCCGGCGGCCATCTTTGAGCCGGGCACGCCGCCCGGCCCTCTCACCCGCGGGGCTGTCACCCGGAGGCGTGTCTCCTCCCATTCTCCCGCGCCGCCATGTTTGTGTGGAGCACGCTCCCCTGTGTCCGCACAGGACCGCGGGGCGAGGAAGCACGGCTGGGCGAGCAGGAGGACGCTTCTCGCCGGCTCCCAGGTGACAGAGGAGCCGCATCCCCTCGCCGACACGCAGCGGGGCTCGCTCCCTTCACTGTGGGATCGTGCCCTTCACAAAGATGGCGGCGCGGGCTTCGTCCTCCTCCAAGATAGCGGCGGGTCGGCGCCGCCCCTTGGCGGCCAAGCGGGGCGGTGGCGCCCGGTGTTGTCGGTGTCCTTGCGGCGGGCGGCAGGGAGCTATGCTGGCCCGGGTGGCGAAGGCTGCGGTGAGTGCGGGGACATCGCGGGAGGAGGACTCTGGGTGGTCCGGGATGAAGGGGGGGGGCGACCGGGCTGCGCCACCCGCACCGGGAAGGAAGGGGCTGGCTGCGGTTGGGGCCTTCCTTGTGCGGGCAGCGGGCGGACCGCAGAGCCGGGGCTGCGTCCCCCGGGCGCGGTGGCACGGGCCGGTTGCGCCCCTTGGAGCCGGTTGAGGGGTGGTGGTGAGCTGGGGTCGGTCTCTGCTCCCAGGGAACAAGGGAAGGGACGAGAGGAAACGGGCTCAAGCTGCGGCAGGGCAGGTTTAGATGGAGCTGAGGAACAGTTCCTTCCCCAGAGAGTGCTTAGGGCAAGGCTGCAGTCACCGTCCCTGCAAGGGTTCACACACCGTGAAGACGAGGCCCTCAGTGCCGTGGGTTAGTGGTGGCCTTGGCAGGGTTGGGCTGGATGAACTTAAAGGGCTTTTCCACCCTGGTTGATTCCATGAGGGAGGAGATGGCTCCACAGCTCTCCAAAGTTCACCCCAGCACGACCGTGTTGGTGCTGTCAGGGTCCGGCCCCGCGCCCTCAGCCTGGAGGAGAACCACGGCAGGGCTGTATGGATGGAGGCTGAGGCGTTTCGCTCAGAGGATCTTGGTTGTGAGGAGCGTGCAAAGGGAGCCATGAGAGTGCTGCTTACCCGGGGGCAGGAGGGACACTGCTCACACGAACTTGGGCTCTTCAGGGGCTTGGTCACCAGAGATGGAGGCCCTGGGGCTGGGTGATGGCAGGGAAGGTGGGTGCTGGTCAGGGGCAAGGGAGGCCCATGGAGCAGCCATCTGTAGCTGCAAGTTTTGCCTTTAAAACATGACTTTGCCTGCAAGCAAGGGGAAGGCTACACATATGGCAGAGCTGTCAGCCCTACTCCTAGAGGAACTGTTTATTGCACTGATGGATCCCAGGGAGGAGAAGGCAGAGCTACGTGAATGGATGTGCTCCTGGAGACACTTCCCGAGGGGCTGGTAGGGTTGTGTAGCTTCTAACTTAGAAATAAAGAGACAAGCCTCTGCCACCTGACACCAGATATTGTAGCCGTGCTGGGAATCAGGCACTGCCCCCAGCCACAGGCTGTAGGTTCGCTTCCCACCAGCTTTGCAGGCTCTGGAAAAGGTCAGCGCTGTGTTGGAACGTGGCTGGGGAGCAATGCCAGCCCGCGAGCCGCCCTGCCCCTGCCTGCGCACCCCGCTCTCTGCCGGTGTTGGTTTCCCTGCTGCTTGTGGGGAGAGGTGGAGTATTTCCTGCCAGCTGCTGCCTCTGTTCAGCTGCCATCCCTGGGCCTCTTCCCACCAAACACTTGAGTTTCACATCAAACCAACCAACCAGAGGACATAAAAGAGGAAAGGTACAAATGCACTCCACGTTTTAACCATTGATTTGGTTTAGGTTTTCCCTTTGGTAACAGGAAAAACCAAAAATTGTTTGGAATCATCATACTTGACCTTAGGTACCATCATCTTGATCTTAAGACTAAGCTTGTCTACCCCACAGACACAAAGGAGGGGGTGATATTCCTCATGACCGCACATTTCTCGTGTTGCCCTGCTATGGAGAAACCTATATTATTCTAAGGGATGAGAATGCAGAACTGCCCAAAGCCTCCTCTTGCAATAATGGCGATGCATGAGGTATGAGCATGGTTAGACACTGCCTTTTTCCCCAGAGTGAATGTGTTCCCATGTCCAACTAATCCTACACACCTACAGAGCTGGTGGCTCATGTCTGGTTCCTGCTGACAGCCTCTGACAGCCACCAGGCACCTTTGCCTGAGCAACGGCCCTAAACAGCCCATCAGCACAGCAGCTCATCCCATCCAGCGGCAGCCCACAGTGGCACATCCTTCCAAGACACAGACTGGGGTCTCTCCTGCCTGATATTCAGGGTTCTCTCACACCAGCCATGAAAACAGTCCTGGCAAAGGCTGAGGGAACAACATCCCCAGCGCCTTCACTTCTGTCTGCCGTGGCTGCAGGCCCAGAGCTATTGCTCAGCAAGAGACTAATGAGGAAGTACCAATGGGGCAGTGCAGGGCTCCTCAGAAAGGCACCTTGGTGGCAGCTGATGCACACTGATGGTCTGATTACCCCCGACCTCTCCTGGGCCTGGCCTCGAGCCCTCTGATCAAGAGCAGCCACGTGGCAGTTTGCTAATGAGGTGACGCCCTGCACGGGCACCGCATTGTCAGGTGGAAGAGGAAACCGAGACAGGCAGAGAGAGAGCTTTACGGTCTTTTCTGGCCTACCAGCCATGGATAGGAAGCAGCAGCAAGCAGAGGAGGTATGGTATGCCCACACTGCCAGCATTAACACCCTTTATTTCTTCCCAGCCCAGCTCTGCTTTCATGCTTCAGCAATTCCCCCTTCTCTTGTTCTTAACATACCTTCTGCAGACCTCAATCTCATAGTCCTGGGGTCTCAGTACCACCAGAGGCTTTGTCACCTTGCAGATTTAGCTCCTTTCTTCTTCTCTGTGCTGGGAGGAGGTGGGGGGACAGCTATCTTCTCATTGCCTTGGAAATCAAAGGGAATGTTCTCACTGGCTTTGCATCCTCCATTGTGTTGCCATGCACTGACAGTGCAAAGTCCAGAGTCCTGTTGGAGGCTGTTCGAGTCAGTGGATCCAATAGAGGGGGAGGAGCAGAGGGAACTGAAAACCTTTAAAGTACAATTTAAACATCTTCATGCTGAAGATGAGCTTCACACATTGGTATTCTTTTGAGGGAAAACCAGCAAGCTTATTTCCTGGTTAGCAGCTGGGTTTGCTCCATTCCACTTCTCCACCCAGATAAATGGTATGGTGGTTTCTAAGGCTTTGGACTTCAGGAGACAGTTTCCTGAAGAACTCCCCCTGTTCCCTCTCCAAAGGCTCCTGGAACCTGACCAGTCCCATGCTGCTACAACTGGATAGCCGTTCTCTTGATATAGCTGGGTCCTCCAGTAACTGGGAGATTCACCAGCGTAAAGGAACATTGCCCCAAGGCCTACACATCACAGCCAGTCCTTCCCTGACCATCACTGGGATGTATGATCCCCGGTCAGTCAGGGAAGAGGCATTTTAATCCTCCCCCAAAGTTACCTGCATTCTGCCTCATCAGAGCCCAGTGGGTAGTTTGATTTGGCACATGGGTTCTGGTTAACTTTCTATCTAGCCTTAGGCTGCTGTAAGAAGGAATGGAACCATTTCTGACAGTAAGATGAGTATTTCTTTAATAATTTACTTTCTTCCCAATCACCATGGGATGGAAGGGTTTGACTTGACATGAATGCATGGGAGGCTCACAGCTGGAAAGGTGCCCAGGGAGTGGGAGATATATCATTATTTTGGCACCATTTCCTCTGACGAGCTGAGAGTCAATATCTTGGGAGATCAAGTTTCCTTTTTGCAGCTTTTCTGGATGGCCTACAACCATCTGTAGCACACACTCAGTAGACCTGTGCCTTGCTTTTGCACTTTGTGTGCTCTGCTTCCTGTGCAGAGACATCCTTGTGCTTCAGAGAGGCTGGGCTGGATACTCCCAGATCCAGGTTATTTGCTACCACACGAGGGGGAAGTTTTGTCTTGACATTTGCTCTGTGCTCTACAGGCCAGGCCTTGCGGCCTCCTGAAGCCAAAAGCTTTAGGCAAGATCCCAGGCAGATTCCATGTCCATCAGGAAGCACTGCCCCATCTCCCAGTGCCGCCGCTGCAGCAAACGCTGGACCGGTACCTGCTGGCTCTGCAGCCCATCATCAGCGAGGAGGAGCTGAACCACACACAGGAGCTGGTGGCTGAGTTCTGCAAACCAGGAGGTGTCGGGGAGAGGCTGCAGAAAGGCCTGGAGAGAAGAGCCAAGAAAACAGAGAACTGGGTATGTCCCCCCAGGCTCTGGATGGGGAGGGTGTTCCCCACCCCTCTCCAATGTCCTGGCTGCATCCACTGGCACCTCGGTTTTTATGGCATCACCTTCTGCTCCTGAGCTGTGCAAGCTCCTCACCAGCACTTGGGTGAGCAGAGAGATTTATGGCACAACAGGGAGTCACTGACCCTGTCTGTGGCTTCTGAAGTGTCTAACCTGTTCGCACCACACAGCTGCCCCAAGACGTTGAAGAAAAGCCTTTGCTCCAGCTCTGCACCAGGAGCCCCCACCTCCTTATTCAGACTGCTCTCTACCCTTCCATGTGCAAAGCATAGAACCCAAACAGCTTGTTTGCAAAGTGGGGGCAGGATGCCGAGACCACTCAGCCAGGCTTGGGTCAGACAGCAGCAGATGCCATACCTCCATGTCTCCTTTCTCCATCCCAGCTCTCAGACTGGTGGCTGAAGACAGCTTACCTGGAGTACCGCCTGCCTGTTGTGGTCCACTCCAGCCCAGCCGTGGTTTTACCCAAGCAAGATTTTCTGGATCGACAAGGTCAGCTCAGGTAAGGTCCTTTTCTGCTTCCCCCTAGGTTTCAGATGGGATGAGCTATCTCTGCTGGACAGGGAGGAGGGTATTTAGGCTGATTGGAAAAGAGAGTAATCATCATGTGGTCCCCAAGTTTGATAGCCAGCTGTGCTGTGCAAGAGGGCTGTACAGATAAGGAAGCTCCTGGTTGCACCAGACTAAGTATTTTGTCAAGGGGGAAAATCAAAGAGTCCAGTGGTTCAGGTACTAAACAGGGACTAAAAACCTATCTATCAGTCTTTGCTCTAGCACAGAAATTCATTGCAAGATGGACAAATCACAGCCTGGAGGCACTGTCAGGATTATCTCAACACTGAAGACTAAGAGGCACTAAGATTGTGTGTGCAGTGAAAGGAGGCATGAAAAAGTATCCCAGGCACGTAAGGGAGACCAACCAGGAATGCCTCTGGAGTTTGCTAGTTGACAGGGGTGAGGGAGCCTCTCCAGAGGTTGTCATTCAGCCTGTTCCTGCAGAGGACTGCCCCTGTTGTGCTGTTTCACTTGTGATTTGTGGTTTGGGAAACTTAACACTGAGCAGCCCCTCTACTTGGAGCTTTCCCTTGCAGTCAAACCCTGCTATATCCTCTCTTCCCTGTATTCTCCCTTTAATTTTTAACCACCATGACAAGTGTTAAACCCATCTGCAAAACTTTAGCACTGACCTTTATACAGCTTTCCCTTTGCCACAGTTACCAGTCATCACTGCTCTGCAGATCCAAAGAGGAGCAGTGAGGCTGAGAACAAATCCTCCCTTCTACTTCCTTGGCTATACCTGAGAGGTGCCTTACAGGGACAGTGCAGGACCAAACATCTTTGAGAGCTCTCACTCATATTATTCACTCTTAACTTACCCAAGCAGAAGATAAGATCTGGAGCAGTAGCAGTGCCCCAACCAATGGAACTGAGCAGCTGCATAAGATTCTGGGCTCCTATGTAAAACACAATCTGCATGCATGTTTGTATGGTTTGCAGCTGCAGGAAGAAGTTTGACAGCTTGCTACTAAAGCTGCAGAAACCAGAAGACAAGTGCCATTCCTCAATCTGGCCACACTGCTGGCTAAAATCAAGTCAATTCACTTCTGCCCCATCTGCCCTTCAATCCCCACCTCTGCTCCCAGGATGCTTGCTCTCTGGGAAGGAGCACAGGCTCTCTCACTGAAGTTTCCCAGCTGTTTTACTGCTTCAGGATTTGCAATAAAGCTGGGAAATTGGGAAACTCTCTTGCAGGATGACTTGTTTGTTTAACAGCCCTCAGATTCTTGGAGTTGCATCCTTTGATCTTTACTAGGGATGAGTAGGCTGAGCAAATCTACAACAACACTGCCTGCAAACGCCAAATGCTTGCACCACTTTAAAGCCTTGAAGTTCAGCTGACTGCAGCCTGTTGTCACAGTGACCTCCTGCCTCCTATGTGTGGGTGAGAGCTCTTGGATCAGAGTAGGCCAACCTGTCAGTTTGATGTGGCCTGTCCCAGCCTCCCTCCCTGCTGTGTTTATGTGGATCCTGGTGAGCACAACCCCTCAGTGGCAGCATGCAGCATGCCTGTATTTGTTTCAGACCCCACAATGCCATAAGAGTGCTCTTAAGAGGTGCATTAGCAGCAGAACATTTATCAGGCAGGAACTACATCAGCAGTGGTGAGTTTTGGATGCAGGGAGATACAGCTGTGTCTTGGTTTGAAACAGAGGTGGCCCCTGGCCAGGGAAGGGCAGAAATCTCCTTTTCTTAGTGCTATTTTAATGCTAAGACTCAGAATTAGGATAAAATCACGACACATCAGTAGAAAATACTGCTGTGAAAGGGTCATGCATCTGGACTGAACCCGGAGCTCTTGAAAGGTGTCCAGAGTTCCTTGGTTATACAGCAAGATACAGTAAAGAAAGTTGTACATGGCAGGACTGTTCAGCAATCTGGAACCACAACCCCAGAGTGGCTGCATCAACTCACCAGAGATGGGCACAGCAGGGGCTTGGCAGAAAGGCTGAGCTGTGAAAGGAGCAGAGAGCAGCTCTGCAGCCCTCCCAGCTCCTCCTTCAGCCCTGGATGTTCTGTTTGAATCTTAACTTGTCACGTTTGGTATTTTTCCAGGTTTGCTGCCAAGCTGATTGAGGGCATCTTGGATTTCAAGTCCATGATTGACAAGTGAGTTAGTGACCCTCCTGGCTGCTCATGTGTTCCTGTCAGAGGCCGAACCTAACCCATAAATCTCCCTTCCAAATAGGAAGGCAAGAGACAACAGCATGCGTTTGAAATGAGATACTGCAACCAACATCACAACTGGAAAAAAGCAAACTTAACTTTGCTTTCTTCACCTTCTCTGTTTACCTTAATACTTCCATTGGCATGTGTACATGCTTAGAGGGAGTGAGCCTGGCTGGCAGTTCTGAACAGCTACATGCTTCTGTCTGCCCACAGAACAAGTTACAGCTCAGGCAGTGGTACCTGCTCCTCTCAGTTTGGGTTTGCTGTTTCTCATCTCTCAGTCAGATGAGATGAGCTTTAAAGAAACTTATTCCTCCTGGCCCTTTTTCTTTCTGATCACCAACTCTGCTAAATATGCCTTATTTATATTCCAAAAATACATTTACCAACACATTACCAACATCACACCTTTACATCCAAATTCAGATGAGGCTCAGGGTTAGCACTGGAAAGGGCAGTTGGAATATGACTGCTGAAGTGTTCCACTGAGTCCCAGTCTAGTTCATGAGTCACACTAAGACACTCACATCACAAAATTACAGCCGAAAACCTCTTTGTGCCACTCACAGGAAACAAACACATCTCCCAGTATATCCTGCCCTGGATTCTTTTCTGGTGTATGCTAAGCTATGTAGCAGGTCCAGAGATTTTTCACTCTGGTGTTACAGAGAGGAAGGGAAAGGACAGCAAACAGACATCATTTGTAGCCCCTAGTAAGGAAGCTGGGAGGAATGGGAAATGACAGCCCCTTTTTATACCATCAGCACCAACATGTTTAGGTCTTGCTGGAGCAGGTGACAGCAGCTGCATGGCTGAGCCTGTTCTCTCTTGTGTGGGCAGTGCAAACCTTCTGACTGATCTCTTTTCTCTCCCCCCTCCTCCTTACCTTGCTGTGTCTCCAGTGAGACCCTTCCAGTGGACTACATGGGTGGGAAGCCCCTCTGCATGAACCAGTACTACCATATCCTCTCATCCTGCCGCATCCCCGGGCCCAAGCGGGACAGCATCGTCAACTATGCCAAAGGCAAGAGCCAGTCCAGACACATCACAGTGGTTCACAACTTCCAGGTATGGTGAGCTCTCGAGGGGTGTTTAGAGGCAGATATCCCTTTCTGCTAGGGGTGGTCCAGAGGAAAGGGAACAGCAAGATTTGCCTCACCAGGGATTTATTCCTGCTCCCTTTATCCTGTTTGGCCAACAGCTGGGATTGCCATGCGTGAGCAACAGACTATGAGGCAGAAAACCACTCTCTTCCTGGCTCCTGTCCCTGCAATTCCTGTATCTCAAAGCTTAGAGACCATGTCTGGAATTGGAAATGGGAAGTGGAAACTGAGTAACAGACCCTACCACCACAGCTGAGTCTCAGAAACAGAAACTGCTAACATGTTTCAGCCCTCATTACCATGGCTTCTGAGCTGCTTAAAACCTGGACTGTATTTATAGCCTGTAAGGGAGGTTGGACTTGGGTCTCTCAATTCTGAGCATCCTTTCAAAGGTCTGGTTACAAGTGGAGTTCTTAGGTCAGGTCTTACCTTCTCAAAGAGGCTGGGCAATGAAGATCATCTCTCATGTTCTGTCTCTGTCCTTGTCCACTCTTCTCCCCTTCAGTTCTTTGAGCTGGATGTTTACCACAGTGATGGAAGTCCCCTTACCACTGACCAGATCTTCATTCAGCTGGAGAAGATATGGAACACCTCCCTCCAAACAAACAAAGAACCTGTTGGGATCCTCACCACCAACCACCGAAACAGCTGGGCAAAAGCCTACAACAACCTTCTGAAAGGTCTGTGGAGCCCCTAACATGCAAGCCCCTAACTTGAACTACCAACCTCACTGCTGTGCTCTGCTCCATTCTCTCCTTTGGAAGCTTGTTCTGGACAGATAAGGAGTTTTTCACCTCAAAGCAGCAATGTGATTTCATTGCAAAGTAGAGGTATTTCTGGTTTGGAAGGTACACAGGTAAAGCCTGACACCTGACATCCCAGAGCCTGTCACCTTGCACATGGGTGGGATGCAAGAAATGTAAAAACAGGAGGGTGAATGCAGCACACTCACGTCTATAACAACCCAGCTGGCTACAGTATTAGTAACTATACACCCCATGGCAACCAGTATTGCATTGAGGTACAACGGGAATCCAACAATGGGTCCTTCAAACCTGCTCTTTCAAATTGCAACCTCCCTCCAATTAAAACACGTTTTCCCACTCCCTTTCCTCGTGTGCTGTTCATTTCTTCCCCAGATAAGACCAACAAGGAATCCGTGCGTGCGATTGAGAAGAGCATTTGCACCATCTGCCTGGATGCACCTATGCCACGGGTGTCTGACGACACCTACAAGAGCTCCGTGGCCGCTCAGATGCTGCACGGAGGAGGCAGTCGCTTCAACAGTGGGAACCGATGGTTCGACAAAACCATCCAAGTAAGTGCTGATGCTCTAAAGATGCTGACGTGGTCGGGAGGAGCTGCTGCTTCCTGAGGCTCCAGAGGTCCAAGAAATCCCAGAAACCTTTTGCAGGAGAGTTCTCCTATCAAGAGTGTATCTCACAGGGGAGACGAGGTGTGGTGTCTGACAGCAGGAGATCCTACGGTTTTCCCTTGCAGTCACCACAAGCACTCATTTCTGCCTCAGGAAGTTTTGTTTCTTTTGCTGCCTCTGCCCACGCTTACTCAGTCAGCAGTTCTTTGTGTTCCTTGTAAATCAATGTTCTGCCTGCGGTGAACAATGCCTCGTCTGCTTGGAGGCAGCCCCAGCGTAGGGAGGGCTGGGCCTTGTGTCTCCTCGAGGCTTGTCACTTCTTCTGCCAGAAGCTGCCCAATGGCATTCTGTTTTGTTATTTCCAACACAAGCTGCCATCCCACAGCATCCCTCTGATCTCTTCTCCACTCAAGTCTTGTCAAGAGCCTTCAACAGCAGCTGCTATTCAAGCTTACCCTTCATTACTTGGTGTATCCTGGCTCGTGGATAGCAGCAGTGGTACTTTTAAAGATTCTTCTCCTATCTGTTGAACTCTAATGTTTTCAGCTATTTTGTACCTATTTGGAAGTCTTCACTGATGGGATAAAGCTTAGATGTTCCAGCTAATTGAAAAGTGAGAGTAAGTCAGCTCCTGCTTCACACACTGCGTGCCTGTCCTCAACACTGTCCTCTCATGCTTCTCTTAGTTCATCATTGCTGAAGATGGCTCCTGTGGTCTTGTATATGAGCATGCTCCAGCTGAAGGGCCCCCCATCGTTGCTCTTCTGGATCACATTGTGGAATACACGTGAGTCCTGCCTCCTCTGTTTTACCCTAGCATTGGAGATGGTTTAAAACCACCTACTCCCCAAGAACATACTTCTTCACAGCCCACCCCTAGGAACTTGTTCTGGAGGAAGGGTAATGGTTGCTCATTAGGTAGTGCAGTTCTTGTATCTGTGATGAGAAACAAGTGGCCAAGGTGCTCTGGTAAGTTTTGCTGCTGCTTCCACTCTCAGGAATGGCAGAGTGAACAGGATGTTCAGCTAGGAGAAGTGTTTCTTTTGGGCAGAAGGCACAGAAGTTTCATTCACACCCTTCAAAAAAACACTATAATGGCACCATGAGGAATTTTGCAGCCTGTGACTATTATCACAAGGTGCTAGCAGAGATCTCTGCATTTCTACCCAGGTTCAGGTGTGCTTAGTGGAGCCTCTTGTTAAAGGTCTGGTTCAGCACACCCATTTCTCTCTGCAGGAAGAAACCCAAGCTGGTAAAATCACCCACGACTCCTTTGCCAATGCCCAAAAAGCTGCGGTTCAACATCACCCCAGAAATCAAGAATGACATAGAGAAGGCAAAGCAGGACCTCAACATGTAAGTACAAAGCAGTGGAGAAGTCTGGTCAGTGACTGAGGGAGTCATTCATGTTCCCCTTACGAACATGTCAGTGTTTTAAATGAGGCACTCATTTCAATGAGGCACTCACTCAATCCCCACTGCAGCCAGGGATTTTTCCCAGTGACTTCTTGAGTCAGCAGCACTGAACTTACCTGAGAAGGACACTAAAGCCACAAGCTAGGAATAAAGTCAGAGGTGCTGGAAAGGGGCAATTACTGATCCATCCCATTTACTGAGAAAGAGGAAGGCTCTACTGGGTTTAACTAGGGATACTGGAGCATGAACACACACACAGAAGCCCATCTGACCTGGTGAAGATTTTCAGCAGTGGCCAAAACCACCTCATCTCCATCGTGCTGCTTGAACAAATCTGTGTGTGATGAAGCTCTCTGTCCCTACATAGTCCAGATCCAGACGGCCCATTCTGTCTGAGCCTTGTGAAAGCAAAAGCCCATCTTTGTTACAAGAACAAGCAACATGCAAAGGAGCACCCTCTCCTTCTTTCCTTGCAGATTGGTCGAAGACCTGGATATCAAAGTCATGGTGTTTCATCAATTTGGGAAAGACTTCCCCAAGTCAGAGAAGATAAGTCCTGATGCTTTTATCCAGTTGGCCTTGCAGCTAGCATATTACAGGTAAGACCAATAGGTATCTTCACCACCTCTTCAATATCAAACACGTAAGCTTCATAAAGGCAGCACAGACAAGTCTCTCACAGGCTGCTGTGGCCTGCTTCCCAAGTCCTGTGTTTTCCCCATGCATAGGGACTGAACAGCAGATCTCTTGTGGCAGCTGCCAAACAATAGGTGAGATTTACCCCTCTGTGCCTGTTCAGTCATAGCAGGGAAGCATCAGAAGTCAGCTGTCAAAGGGATTCACTCATATAAAGTCTTCCCCTTCTCCCTTAGTTCCTCTGCTTTTCTCCCATGGCCGTTTCTCCCAGGACAAACTCATTCCTGTGACTTCCTTCTCCACCTTCCAGGATGTATGGCCATTCCTGTGCCACCTACGAGAGCGCATCCCTGCGGATGTTCCGCCTGGGCCGCACAGACACCATCCGCTCCGCTTCTGTGGCCTCCCTGAAGTTTGTGCAGTCAATGGACAGCCCTGACAAATCGGTGAGGACTGAAGTGGAATCAGAGGACTCCACAAAAAGAGCAAAGCTGCTGACGTGGCTCGCCCTATAGCAGCTGTTTCAGCTAAACAGACCTGGAGCCCGTGTGAAGTTAACCTAAAACTTAGTATTGGGTTTCCTTTGGCTCTCCTTTCACATGAATTGAAAGCCTGGGAGACAACATGTGGACATTTCTAATCCCACCAAAAAGTACTGTGTCCCTTCTAAAAGTCTGTTCAGCTACTCAGACCAAGTTCTGCTGCTGACAGATGGAGAGCGAGCTCCATTCAGAATGAAGTAATGCAGACCTAATGATTTAAATCTAGTATATCTAGTATCTTTATATCTTAATATATTCACACAAGAAATGCCTCCATCAGAGAGAAACAACCAAAATGAGGTTTTCACTCTGCAGAAAAACTTACAGACAGGTCTGTGTGTTCTCAGGACCAGGAGAAAGCCAACTTGCTGAGGAGAGCTGTCCAGGCCCACAGGGAGTACACTGATATGGTGAGTCTCTGCACCAAGACTTGGGGTTTTATCTAGCAAATGAGGGTTCTGGTGAAAGATCAGATCTCAAGAGCTTTCTCTGCTGACACAGCAATGTGGCTCTTAGTGCTGATCATAGGTCTAAGTTCAGTCTGAGAATGCTCTAGGCCACAGACTGAATCCTCTCTTAACTAGTGGTTTAAGTGTCTCTTGAGACTGACCCGAGAGAAACAAATATGAACACAGCTTCTGTTCTCACTGTCACTGTTGCTGATAAATGCCAAAGTTGCATGAGGACCTCTTAAACCAGAGGGAGCCCATAGGCAGGAACTTTAAGCTTGGTTCCACTGGTGTGTTTTAATGTCAGAGTCCTTACAAAGCAAGACTTATAGTCCTAAAGGCAAGACCAAGTTTCCTCCTAACTTTAAGCACTTAGAGATTTTCAGAAGTGTTCTGCTCTTCAACCCAGAGAAATGGGTGGTTTTTGCTCACTTGCTGCTAAACAGGCTTTCATGTAGCCTTCTTTCCTTCCAGGCAGTAAGGGGCAATGCAATAGACCGCCACCTCTTAGGCTTGAAGCTTCAAGCCATCGAGGACCTAGTGAGCATACCTGAACTGTTCATGGACACAGCATATGCTATTGCAATGCACTTCAACCTCTCCACCAGCCAGGTAGGACTCATCCAACGCAAACACAGAAATGCTCTCTCTCTTCATTGCCTTTCTTCTCCAGATTTCTCTTTCATTCCCTTCTGTTAGCAACTTATCTCCATTTAGGGCCAGAAATGTTACGCCTGCTACCAGTAAAGTTGAAGATGTGATTATAGCTGCCACAGTCCCTGTCAACCCTGCAAAAAGAATAGCATAACCCAAGCCAAGATCACCCAAAGCAGCAGTTTCTGCTGCTGTTGACAGAGCTCGTAACATGTGATGGCTCTGACTGGTTCAGTTTTTAATTGCATTGTCTCCACAGGTCCCAGCAAAGACAGACTGTGTGATGTGTTTTGGCCCCGTGGTTCCAGATGGCTATGGCATCTGTTACAACCCTATGGATGAACATATCAACTTTGCAATTTCTGCATTCAACAGCTGTGCTGACACAAACGCAGCCCGCATGGCACATTACCTTGAGAAAGCACTGCTAGACATGAGGGTCTTGCTCCAGTCTGCTCCTAGATCCAAACTGTAAGAGGCAAACATAATGCAAAGCCCCCACATTAAAGGGGCTATCCCTTATGCACTGAATTTCCCAGTTCCTGATTGAGGGGACAGTTTGCACTGGAACCTATGAAGGCATCTACCATTTATTTTCAGCAAGAGGTTACAGAATAGTGATCCACAGATATTAACTCTGTGGGGAGGCAACATTGTCTGAAGTTGAACTGACTGGTCCTCTCCCATCAATGCAAAGTGCACCTTCCTGTCCTCAAAGAGGACTGAAATAAGAGTTTTATGGAACTTGCTGTAAAGAAAAGCAGAAAGCACAGTCCTTACCAGCATCCAGACCCACTGCATGAGGAAGGCAGTTCTCCAAGAAAAGCAGGGAACGTTTATTATAGGATGGGACTGCTGCAGCATAAAGTCTTTTTGCTGGTTCAGTCTTCTGAAGAGTGCAACGTCTTTCAGACTTCACTGAAGGTTTTTCTGCTGCTCTAGCACAACTTCCACCATTGAACTTTGGCAAGGGGAGAAAGAAGCTCTTAATGTCAGAGCAGATCCAGCCCCATTAGAGTGCACTGCACTACTTATCCTAGGCACTCCAACCATTACATGTTTTACAAGCTTGGGAATGTCCCCTTCCCCTCAGTTTCAGGATGCTGGGATGTCCTTTCTGTTGCACTGACCCTATTTACAACAGATACCATTTGCTACAAACTCAGGTGGGGCTTTGCTGTTGTTGTTGCTGTTCTGGGCTATCTGTTAAGCTTGCTTTGTGGTCCTGGCCACGGATCTTCAGGCTCAGTGTAAAGCTTTATCCCCACAGAGCTTCTAGAAGACCTCTCTCCCACATGTTTTGCTAGCTTTGGCTTTATGTTTCTTAATATATGCAGAGATGAGAAGAGACTGCCTATGCATTTAGCAGGCCACTTGCTTCATTGTACCTTCCTTTGGAATGGAGGAAAAGATTCTGCCCTTCAGTAGCCAGAGGCCCCAGGCCTTGCCTCCTCCAGGGCACACACGTTAACATGATGTGGTTTTATACCCTGCTTTCAGAAACAACCTATTTGTGCATAATGAGTTATATCTTGGTTGTGGACAAATAAAAATGTTTCTGATCAGGAACTCCAGAACATAACTTCCATTTCTGGCCACAGAGTTCAAATCTATTAGAGCCAAAGGAAAACCAGGTGCAGAATCCCCCTTCTTTTACACCCCTCTGCTTTAACAAGGCAGGAAAGTCTTAGAAAGCAGGAAGAAAGCTGAGAACCTGTGGTCACTGTAGATGTTTGTGCACTGTGGCAGCCACTGTTCCTGCAGTAACAGTACACCACTCTTGGAGTTCGTCCTTACTGCACCTCGCATTTGTGCCAGCTCTGTTCTGTGACAGAACTCATCATGGCACTTCCATGTTCAGCTGACAAACTTGAGACTATATTCTCTAGAAACATACAGTTGCAGCACAGGAGTTTTTGTAAGTGCTGTTTCCAATGAATCTACCAGAATCCAAGCCCCTCACTACTTTTATTTAGCAAAACCATATGGCAGCGAGGAATTCTAGTGCTATTTCTGCAACAGGAATTTTACATTTCAATTGCACACCCTTCAGCAAGTGGCACCACCACTAGAAGCATTAGCAGTCAGATGGCCTGTTTTGGTAACAGGGAAGTGTTTGATCATACTGCTTTCCTGATCATAGAACAACAAGGGAGATGATCAAAGTGCCTTGGGGAACACACGTGAAGAAATTTGCACTAAACATGTTTAAAGTAAGAAAACTCATTCTAATTTCCTTCTTGAAAGACACAAACCAACAACTGCATTTTTCTTTTCCTAAAAGGATGTTATTTCAAAGCTTCTATCTTATACTTAAACCTTAAAAAAGGAAAATTTAACTGAAACTCACCTGCACAGCCAGTGATTGTATGAACTGCCACTTTCACATCATCTACATGGATTTAGCTGATCTTTAGAAGAATCCTGAACGGAGTGAGATAGTCTAAAATCAACCCAATAGGAGCACTGCAGACCTGCAAGCAAACCTCTGCTCTGTTGGCTTCACTGTATGAACCGTACTGAAAACTGCAAGAGGATACTCAGTATTATCAAAACAGAAGTGTGTAAATACTACATAAAAGACCAGACCTTGATGGGATAACATCTGGATTTATGGAGCCTTTTACATTGAAAGAATACTCATCTTTGCCAAAGTGATCCTCCCCCCATACTAAATCAACCCCTGTTGCTAAGGGAGGAGTTATTTTTCCCTGTCTGCAATGTCTTCAACCACTGATGCTACAGTATTTATCACTTTAAATATTTGAGACTGGCCCTTTGCAGCTTCTGTCTCAAAGGGGAAGGCTCTCAAGGAAAGTGCCTATAAAGATTAAGGAGAAGTATGTGCTGCTGTGACTGTATCTCAGAAGATGGGATTGACCTTTTCTGGATCTAAATCTGGATATCCCACATCCCACTAGCTTCGGCAGAGCACAGCTGCAAGAAGCAGACTATCACACCAGAAGAGATACAAGATTCATGAACCACTCAATGCATCCTTAATGATATACAGAGCTGAAATTCAGATGAATGAAGCTGATTTTTTAAGTGCTTGAAAGGACACTAAAACCATTGCAAGGTTTTTTCCTTTATAAAGTCTTTTCTTGTACAAGTTCTAAAATGCAATGTTCTGATTCATACCTTCTTGATGTTTTTCAATGTTGACTTATTGAATACCGTTCTCCCTGTTTCTGATGGTTTTATCAAGAGATGCCCATTGTCTTAACAGCACATTAAGTACAAAAGAAAACCGTAAGTTGCAGGAAAATAACTGATTTGGAACAAATAAGCTGAAAACAGATAACTCTTGGGGTATGAGTGCAATTTATGCCACAGCCTGGTAGTGTTGCATGCTTTGCTGTTAGCTGTGTTAAATACTGTTTTGGTTGTTGTAAATCCATGTCATGCAAAGTTTCAAACTGTTCTTTGAATAAACTGAAAACACAATAAACAGATAAAATGCTACAAAAAAGGCTTAAATCTCCTTAGACACCGCAGAAGTTGCATAACCAGCCTTATGGGAGGATGTTGATGCAGGGACAGCAAGAACAGTGAACCACAGCATTCTGTCACCTTCCTTTTATTGTCTTAATATCTCCATCCAGCCCCCTTGAGTACAGGGGAGGAACAGAAAGCATCTGCTTGCAAAGCCACATATTCCAAAGAAAATATTCCATTTCAGAAAACTAGTGGCAGGAGACTTCATACAGGTGTAGGATAATAAGGCAGAGCTCAAATCTTTTTTTTTTCCTGCACAGCACCATTTAGTTAAGAAAATCCATGGAACCACTAAGGAATTTCTACTGTATCAAGTATTGCAAAGGTTTCTGGAAAGGTACAGCAAAAGTAGGCAGAAGATGCAGATTACAAACAACTCACAGAGAACAGAGGAGAGTTTATTACAGTGTCTTACAAGAGCTCTTCTTCCTCTCCCTTACTCCTAACTGTGGGAAGCTTGGGTTGGAAGGGAACATGAAGTGGAACAGCTTTGTACACTACACCACTCTCCATGAAGAGATGGAACCTCTTCCCTACACTCTTAGTTCTCAATAGGAGCTTCCACAGCAGTCTGTTAACAGCTTAAGAGGAGCTAGGGAAGCACCAGCCACTCCTGAAACAATCCACTTTCCCAGCCTTGTCCTTAGGGAACAGTGTTGTCATCTCCTTTCTGGTTTTGTGAGTTGACTTCCAAAAGATAGGAAGAGCAAATAAATGGGTTTGCAAGACATAAGTGATTAGTACCAGCTTTCCAATCTGATGGCCTGTCACATTTCAACAGAGCTGCTCTAAGTCAGATCCAATGTCCTCGTGAAAGCTGCAAGACGCATCTTTATTCTGATGCACCTTCAAGCAGATCCAGTGCTCAGGTCCTTCAGATGTGAACAGGATTGCTCATGTTGTGCAAATACTAAACAGAACCTTAAATAATAATTAGCTGTAACAACTGAAAACAGTTTACTACCCATAGCTACTGAAACAGCTATTTAAACAGCCTTCATTCCTATCTCCTAGATCTTTCCACAGCTAACACTCTGCTTGTCCAACAGTTTCTCCAGCAGCTCCCACTCCACACGAACACACAAACTCCTATGGCAACAGGCACAGATGAAAACTTAAAAATAATCAAGATGAACAGAAACACATCTCACTTGAAGCAGCTTTATAATGCAGGAGTCTGATTAAAGTGGAGATAGTAAAACAGGCAGCAAGACCAAGATGTGACAGTTTACCTCTGCTCACATGACTGCATCGAAGGCACACCGATGACCATTGAGCCAGTTCAGAAGCTGTCCTTTATCTGTGAAAGTTCAAGTCAGTTGTGCTTTGAATAAATACTTCTCTGTAGTTACACTTGAACTGCTGCATTATATACTAGAAATACAGAAAGTGTCCATGCACAGCCCTGAAGCACTGTGAGTATAGCCCTTGCCAGGTTAACTCATGGTTCACAGAGGTTGTAGGCATCACCAGCACACACAGATGGCAGACACATTCCCACAGAGAAACAGCATCCCGAGAGCAAACTGGCCAGACACAGAATCCCAACGGAAGAAGGATGGAAAGCAAAACTTGCTTGTAGGAGTTCAGTATTCAAGGTTACTGCTCCAGAACCCCAACCAAGCCAATGTAGTAAGTGGCAGGAGTCTCTGATAGGACAAGCTCATGGGTGGATGCTAACAGGACTCAAAGGAATACTTCAGCCAGCAGCTGAGCTAGTGATTAGTCACCTGCCTTGATATTCATTTATAGTTGTCACTTTGTTCATGCTTAGAACTCCCTCCCTTAAGCTTTAACAGAAAAAGGAAAAATCCAGTGCTCAAGACAGAGACAAGCAACTGAATTTTGTAAGGCTTTGGGCTGACTCTCACTGGAGCACAGCACTGCTTCTCACCAATGGGCTTCCTAGTGCCATTGGCAGCACGCTCAGTACAACAGAAGCTGTACAGATCACAGCAACCCTGAGGTAATAAAAGGATAAAGAAAGAGATGGAATAAACATGAGATACGTGTAATAATCTTGCCACCTAGAAGAGATTCTGAGAAAGACACTCTTGCTAATTACACACCAGGAGCAGCAGTGGAAAAAAAATAATAGTCAGTATATTTCAGTTTATCCTTTGTTTTACACACACACACACTCCCCTTCATGGTATCCGTGCAGGCTTCCCTGCAGAACCATCGCTAGTGTTAAAAATCAGACCTTTACGCTTTCTTCCTATCTGTACAAAGTGCAGTTGGAATGGATTTTGATCTCCCCAGCTGGTTGCAGAAAGGACAAAGTCTGCCTCTCCCTTCTGCCTCGGTCACCGCATCCTTGTATCCCTCCCTCCTAAGGAGCTTAGAGAAATTAAAGCCCTAATGAAGCATGATCAGCTTGAGATTAAGTTTTGTCCTCTTCTTCCAAAAAGAAAAACCCAGCTGAAAAAGGCAAAACCAGAACACGCAGTCAAGGCCTCACCCACCCCAGAAACAAAAGTTCCATTTAAAAAAATAAATAAATAGTGTGTATATTTCATGCTGAAAAAAAAAAAAAAAAAGGAAAAAGCTAAAAAAAAAAAAAGTCACAGAAAGGATTCATTTTTTGGTTTTCCCTCCCCCAAACATGACACCAGGCATTTTCTCCCCCCTTTGCCCCTGACGTAGACGTGATGTTACATTCCAA